AAATATTAAATATGAAAATAATCAAATAAAACATATTTTATATAAATTTTATATTATAATAAAATAAAAATTATTAATAATGCAAAGTTCAACAAGTAACAAAAGATTATATAATATAAAACAATAATAAAATTCATATTATTTGATACAGTAACAAAAATTATTTGTAATCTTTATTAATCATAATTACCTCATAAAAACTGATGAATTTATGGAGATCCTTCATCCCTGCTGATTTTGAGTCTTCTTTTCTTTGCTATGTTTTAATATTCATTTTTTTAATATTTATTATTTATATACAATTAAATTTAGTGTCAAATAATACAAAAATAATTGTTTTATATAATTATTATTCTACATAATAATTATAAAATAATATAATATATATTATACACACAAATATATATTTTTTAAATTCTTAAGTCATAAATTAAAACAATTTCCTTGCCCACCCGAATTTTTGTTCCCTCTGCAAAAAAATTTTCAAAGAGTCTTACTACTCACGAATTCTTATAATATTCCTACCTATCCGCGAATTCCCATAGTATTCCTACCTACCCGCAAATTCTCATAGTATTCCTACCCCGTAAGTCCTATCCCGTAAGTCCTGATTTTATTTCTATCTATTTGCAAATTCTGAAAATATTTCTACCTACCCGGTTTCTTATTCTGTGCTTATGCAGTGAAACATCTAATTCGCAATCATCCGATGGAAAATTTGAAAAATTTAAGTTTGAAGATATATAAATAAAACAAGAGGGGGGGAAACATAGACGATATTATATAATTTGTCCATTATGTGCGACCACATATATATAACACATCATTATCAACTTATATAAACCTTTAGTCAATATTATTATTGACCTAGCTGCTGTTCTTCAGGCCAGGTTGGACCTATCTTTCGTCGTTCCTGGCCACGTTGCTCCATGTCAGTTCTGACCATATAGTCAGAAATTCTGGCCAAATATAGCCAGAAATGATAAAAAGGAGGTATAGATACTCCTTTTATTATCGGCTACTAATTATGTCGGTAAACGATATGTTTAATTTTTATACGCACGTCTCGATCCCGAGGGCCATTCAAATATCAATAAAATACGAAAATTTGCGATAAAGTCTATTTTATTGTTAATTTAAAATATCGTATTTTCTTACAACACGTGATTAATTTTCAACTCGAAATTTTGTAGAAACTGTTTCATATCTCAATACCGATGCTAATTTTTGACTTAATTAAAAAAAAAGTTATATATCAAGAATCTAATAGAATTTAAAGTTACATAATAAAACAAATCAAATGATAAGAATAATAAAAATAAAAACATGTAAATGATTGTAGAATTCGTAATGAATAATATTTTCACTAACCGAAAAAAATCTAAGGCATATAATTACGTTAGTATTATTCGCGTCCGAAACTGAAACCGAAACCGTCATTTGAATTTCATTACAAATAGGGATGAGAACAATGTAACATATTCAAAATAAATATGATATGAAATGAGATCCAAATGGCATAATAAATTTCCTCACAATCAATACATTAATATTGACCAATATATAATTTTAACCAAATTTAATTTTATATATAATTTTAAACAAATTATTGTATTGGTATAAACTCTAAAAT